TAGAGAACTAAAAAGACCAAGAGAAAAAAAAAGGGGGGTGGGGAGAGACTGCAGGCTGGGTCTTCTCTGCTCAAGCATCTGCATGAAAATAGCCCCTTACCCCCCATTCTTCACCCTTCTCTTGTTCTGATTTCAAAGTGTGCCAATTCTCTGGGGAGTTAGTGGACTTCCTAGAAGTCTGGGTTGCAATAACTATTAGTGAAAATGTGCTAATTTATTAAACATTTATATAGTGGCTGGCATTGTGCCAAGTGACTTCAGTGTGTGGTCTTATTTTGTGACCTTCTGATGCAGGTTTTCTCTTTCTTTTTCTTTCCTTTCTTTCTTCCTTCCTTCCTTCCTTCCCTTCCTCTTTTCCTCTGTTTTTCCTGCCCTCCCTTCCCTTCCTTGGTAGGTTTTATTTTTAACCCTTAGTTTACAGATAAGGAAACTGAGGCACAAAGATGTTAAGTAAATTGCCCAAGGTTATGTTTTGAGTAAGGGAAGCAAAACACAATGTCAATCATTTTGGCTCCAAAGCCTACCTTAAGCACCTTTCCATTTTGTTGTTGTTGTTGTTGTTTGGTGGGGGAGGATGGTACTGGGGTTTGAACTCAGGGCTTCACCTCTACTCTACTGCTTGAGCCATGCTTCCAGCCCAAGTACTGTTCCATTTTGCAGTCCTAGTAGAAGGAATAATGTTTGTCTCCGTATGAGTGTCCACTGTGAGCCAGGCCCTGTGCTACAAGCTCTAAATCCTAATTATGGCCCAGACACAGAAAGCCATCTGCCCTCTTTTCTCAGAGGCAGTGAACTTGGCTTGGCTGTCTGCTAACACCAGAAAGGGAGCAGCTCAATGGCCTGCTGGGCACTGCAGGGACTTGGGCTTATTTTTTTTTTTTTTTTTTTTTTTTTGGTGCTGGGCCTTGCAAATACCCTCTACCCCAGACCCAAATAGGTTTCCTCAACATCTGGTTGACAGGAATCAGCTCTCAGAGCCTCACCACAGTCAAAATCAGGTTGGGGGTGGAGGGGAGGACTCAGGCCTGAGGTCTTTTTTTTTTTTTTTTTTTTTTTTGGCAGCACTAGGGTTTAAACTCAGGACCTTGTGCTTGCTAGGCAGGTGCTCTACCACTTGAGCCATGTCACCAGCCCCTGAGTTCTAACCCTGGGCCACAATACTCTCCCACTTTAACATCTGGCCTATGTACCCCTCTCCAGTTTTTTGTTGTTGTTGTTTTGGGTCTTTTGTTTTTTTATTTTTGAGACAAGGTCTTACTACATAGCCTAGAGTGACCTCAAACTTGTGATCCTGGTGCCTCAGCCTCCCAGTTGTTAGGATTACAGGCATACACCACCATGGCCTGGCTTCCCAGCTCTGTTCTTCACCAGCTTTGTGGCCTTGGATGAATGACAAGGCATCTGAGCCCCAGTGTACTTGTTTGCACCTTCTGTGCAGAGCAGCTGTGAGAGCTTCATGACACGCAACTCTTGCTCAGTGTGCAGTGGCCAAGCTAGGTTGGGAGCCACAAGCAGCAAAACAGCATGGCCCCAAGGGACACTCGTCAACCCACCTGCCTCTTGCGTGTAGCGGGTAAGTGACTGCCATGAGGTCATACAGCCAAGCAGAAGATTCAAAGCCAGACTATTAATTCAGGTCCAGAATTCTGCTCCTGGCATTGTGGCTGTGTTCTCCAAGCCTGAGCAGGAGTATGCTGTCCCTGACTGATGAATGTCATTCTTCCTATCCAGTCCCTGGCCATCTGAACCCCTGTCTTAGGACAGCTGGCCACCCAGCAGGGAACCTGCCTCCCACTCACCCCTAACTCCTGGACACAGGAACCCCAGGCCTAACCACTGTTTCTCAAGGGCCACACTTTCCAAAGTCATGTCCAAGCTTTGATGTAGACACAGAATGTCCTGCCCTTCCCAATGCCCACCAAGTATCTGGAGGATCCAGAGACAGATTTAGGTTCAAATCCTCCTCCTGCCTGACAAGTGGCTTGAGACACTGGGCAAGTCAGTTTATCCATCTGAGATGCAGTTTCGTCTACGAAACAGAAATGCAATCTTCCTCTTGGGTTACTCCTGAGCATCAAATGCTCTTAACCTCCTGAAAGCACCAGGCATACAGTAGGTGCTCAGAGAACTTTCACTTCCCTCAGTTCCCTTTGAGGAAGGCCCCTCTAAAGCAGGGTGGGGGTGGGCAGGGGTGCAGGGCTGGGCAGGGCTGAGAAGAAAGAGAAGTTCCCAGGCGAGGTGGGAGGGCCCAGCTCGCCTGGGGATTTCACTAAAAAGGAACTGGGACTTTGGGCAGCCACAGGAAACCACCATCCTGCAAGAGTTCCGGCTTCTCCTCAGGGCTCTGGGCTAGGCAGGGGCAGGCCTGGGCTGGAGGGACAGGAAGCCAGTCAAAGGTCTGCCGACAGGTCTGCAGGCAGCCCCATCCCTCACAGAGCCCTGATTGTTGACTGAGGGCTTCCATACTTGCCCACAGCCCTCTCACTGAGCCCTGCCACCCACAGGACTCCAAGGATCTTACTGAGCCCCATGTCGGACCCCCACCTCCCTTTCACCCCCTTCCAGGGGCCAATAAGACATGCCCCCATCAAACTACACACCTTGGTGAGGGGTGTGTGTGTGTGTGTCTGTGCCATACTAGCTCTGTTCTCCACATGGTGCTGAGGGTTTTAGCTCAGTTTTCTCCACTTCTTGTGGGTAAAAGTGGTTTTCCATCTGTCACTGAAAACCCACCCACCAGCCTCTAAAACAGCAGTCTTTAAGTCCACCTGGCATGGGACTTGGGGATTTTCAGGAGATGGAAGCCATGAGTGGTCCATGGGGAGCTAAGAGAATAAGAGTCTTGGTTCTACAGTGTGGCCAGACAGGAAGCCCCCTCCCAGGCCTTTGGGGACGGGGGGCACCTTGGGTCAGCCCGGTATGCTCAGTGTGCATAGGGCTTTGGCTCCCTCAGTCTCAGGGACCCCTACCCAGCTTGCCAAGATCTGGTCAATTTCCTTTGCCACCTCTGCCCCAGGGCGCTGCAAAGAACACCCAAACACCACACATAAGCTCACAGGCTCAAGCTCATTCACTCAGAGCCCAAACCACATTCATATCCTCCACCACAGCTTCGCCCCCACTGAGGAGCAACAGCTGGTCATGAACCCCTGAACCCCACATCCTCCTCCACCACTCCTCCATTCCTCTCTTGGGAGAGCCACATCAGCTTGGCCAAGGATGAGGTGGGGACTCAGGCCTCAGCTCTTAACTACCTTTTTCCCCACATTAAGGAGCCCTGACCCCTACTGACTTTCAAGCCTCCGTCTTCCCATCTATGAAGTGGTAACAGAGCCCTGTTCTCCCATCCCCACCACAGCTGGAAAGATGCCAAAGGCTTTAAAAGATGCCTGACTGCAGGGCTCTGGTTGCTTATGCCTGTAATCCTAGCTACTCAGTTGAGGCAGAGATCAGGAGGATCTCGGTTCGAAGCCAGCCTGAGCAAAAAGTTAGAGAGCGCCTATCTCAAAAAAAAAAAAAAAACCCACAAAAACAGGATGGTGGAGTGGTGGCTCAAGATGTAGGCACTGAGTTCAAACCCCACTACCCCCCACACACAAAAAAAAATCCCTCCACAGACTACATGCCTGAAGAGCAGCCAACTGGATATGGCACTGCTGAGGGTTGGAATCAGATCTGAACCCTGCTGACCTCCCCAGAATGGACTCTCCACAGATCCACCGACATTTATTTATTAGCTGCTAACGGTGTGCTGGTCCCTGGAGGAGAGACCCAGGTTTTTTGTTCTCCTCCATGTTTTGAGGTGAAGGTCAGGCTGACTAGGTCAGTGATAAATTTCTTGAGCAACCTGCTTTCTGTGATTCACATAAGGGAAGCATAATTTCTGCCCATAGTTCAACTGAGGGAAAGGAGACCGAGAGAAGCCTTGTAACTTGCCTGCATAGCAGTTAAGGACCCAGTCTAGCCAAGGACTCTGAGGCTGCAGATCCCCACCAGGATCCCTGAACACTGAGTGCCATTGCCTCAAACAGCGCCAAGGACCCAAAGTGCGACGACGGCAGGGACCAAAAGTGCCTCCAGCAATGAGCCCAAAGTGGCCCAGCGCAAGCTAGCCTCTCCACCCTCAGGTTGCCATAGAGACGGCCCTGGCGGGCATTCGCGGTCAAAGGCAGGATTTCCGTCGGGGCGGCCAGCAATTCCCGGATCCCGAGGGGAACGCCGACCCAGACCGCGGCTTCGGGCGGGGCGGGGGCGCCCAGGGAGGCCCATCGGTGCTGAGGCCGAGGACTTCCCCAGGAAGCGGGGACCCACGTCTCCCGCGCCTTGAGGGAGTCTCCTCGCGGACCCGAACCCGCCCACCAGTGCGGGGACGCAAGGGTCTGGGGGCAGCAGTCGCGGCCGCCTCCCCTACCCTGCAGGCTATAGGCTTCACCCCGATTTCTGCAGATTTCTAATAGGGAGCCTTCCTGGAACCCCAGCAACTGCGCCCTAAACTCTGCATCCTCCATAAATCGTTCTCCGTGACCCCCTTCCCGCCAACTCCCTCAACTGATCCTCCCAGTACCCCCACCTAGGTCCCCTCCCCCACGTCTCTCAAGCCCCTCCACATTTTCTTACTCTTCTCCCCCGACCCTTTTTTTTAGGGGGGGGGAGGTTCCTATTCACTTTCCTCAACTCTCAGCTCTTCCCAAATTCTATAAATCTCACACTGCAGGTTCCGTCCTTTTCCTCGGCAGATTTTTTTTTTGTGGGGGAGGAAGCTTTAGTCTGCTTTCCCTATTCTCAGCCCTCTCCCCAAGTTTTATTAGTCTCATCATTATCGAGATCTCCTTAGTTTCTTCCTTAAGCCCTTTTCAGTGGGGGTCCCCTGGTCGTTAACTTCCTTAGTTCTCCTCCCAAAGTTCAGGTTTAGCCCTCTTCTCATCTCCCCTAGGGTCCCGGGAGAGCGGGGGCGGGACGCCACCTGCCTTTCCTAGTCCCCACCTGACTCGGCCACCTACCTGGTCACAGGGGAACCCGCTTCTGACCGACCCGGAGCAAGCCAGTCTCGGCTCCCAGCTGCCACGAATGCCGACGTGGGGGACAACTGGGGTGCTGCCCGTCCCTGCCCGTCGCCCCCTCTGGGCAGGGAGAAGGAAGTCACCTTGGACTTCTCTTATTGCGGTGGCGGTGGCCGTGGCCGCTGCGGCTGGGGGCGGGCGGGGGGGGGGCGCAGAATTTGCAGTCACACCCCAGCCCCAAGCCAGCTGCCCGCAGCAGGGAGGGGCCAGCAGATCCCAGGCCCGCCCGCCCCCACTTCCAGCCTTCCCTGGGGTTATGGGGTCAGACCTTTGCAGCCCTCTCCCTGAACCCCAAGCTCCTTCCCCAGACCTGAATCCCCCACACACACACACACAACCTTCCCAAATACCCCCTCAAAGGGCTAGGCTGCCCACCCTCGGACTTACCTCTCACAGTCAGGGGAACGGAGGTTAAGAGGGGCTTTCTGTATCACTGAGCACCCCAGCCCGGCCCTCCTTTTCCAGCTGGGAAAACTGAGGCCCAGATCAGGATTAGCCTTTCCCAAATTGTCAAGGCCAGTTGACCTCAGACTGCTGTCACCAGAGTCACATGGATCCTATCACCATGCCTTGCCTTCCTTTGCTCAGGGGCTGGGCACCAAAGGCACAGGACTGCAGAAGATGGACTTCGGGGATGACCATGCCCTTAAAAAAGCCACAGACACACACCCAAGTTTTAGAAAAACTGAGTATTATCCTTTATCGCAGTTCCTACTAGGGATCCCTGATCCCCCAAGTGGAGCCCCCCTTCCCTCAATGTTATTTCTTCAGGGTTAAACCAAGGGCCAGGGAAACCCCTCCTGTCTGGAGAGGAAGAGGTGTGGAGGGAGGGTTGTTTGGTAAAGTTCATGTGTGCAGGGTTGTGGTGGGGGGAGGAGAGGGGTGTGCAAACACAAGTCAGGGAGCAGTTGAGTGGAGGTGATTACATGGCAACTTTGGTTTTAGAATGGACAGCTGGAACACATTACACGGGCAGGTGTGTTCCTATGTGCCTGTAGGGGTGTGCAGGGCTGTGTGTGCCAGCACAAGCTCAAGCTCGGGAGTGTCACAGTGTAACAACTGTGGGTGAGGAGAGTGGAGGATGCAGATAAGAAAGCTTCTCTCTTAGGAAAATGGGAGGAGGGAGGAGGACAGGGGAGTCAGTGGAGGAGGGCGGCTTCACCCTGGCTGGGCGGTATTACCTCTGCCCTCTGAGCATCCATCCACATGTTCAGTTCACAAACATCATTGCCAGTTAGGTGCCAGCCTCAGGGAACACAGAGATGAAAGAGACTGATCCCACCTGACACCTAGGCCAGCTACTCAGGAGACTGAGGCAGGAGGATTATTACAGTTGGAGGATTGGGGTTGGACACTAGCCCAGACAACACAGCAATTTCTCGTCTCAAACAAACAACAAAAATTAGGTGGGGTGGCACTAGGAAGGCTGAGGCAGGAGGACTGAGTTGGAGACCAGCCTGGGCTACATAGTAAGACTCTATCTCAAAAAAAAAAAAAAAAAAAGAGAGAGAAAGAAAAAGGAAGAAGGAAGAGAGGAAGGGAAGGGGTGCTTGCTCCTGGGGGAATCCTCTAATCGATCAGACTTGCTCTGTCATCCTTCAAGGTCTGGCTCAAGCCATCTCCCCAGGAGGCCTTCCCCTGATGGCCACCCCCTCCCAGCAGAGCACTCAGCAGCTCCTGTAAGGTGTGCCACTGGGTCCAGGGGGTTGGGCATGAGGTGTATTTTTCTCAAGGTGCTGAGTCTGGCTTTTGACGCCTCCAGTGCCCACAAAGGGCCTGGCACAGGGTAGTACGTTCTTTGGAACATAGAAATACACGGATCATCCAAGAAACAAAGGCATTAACATGTAAACAAATGAAAGCTCAGTGAGAAAATAAGTATTTGAAGGTAAGAATGAATGAAGAAATTTGAGCAACAAAGACTGAATAATCAAATGAATGGAAGAACAAAATTGCCTCTGTTTTTTAAAATACATGTTGGGGCTGGGGGTGTGGCTCAGTGGTAGAGCATTTGCCCAACAAGCACAAGACCCTGGGTTCAATCCCCAGCACTACAAACAATAAAGAAATAAGTAAAATAAATAAAGCCAGGCTGGTAGTGTAACTCACATGGTAGAGGTCCTGCCTAGCAAGTGAAGGCCCTGAGTTCAAACTCCAGCACTGCCAGAAAAATAAAAAGAAGGAAGAAAAAAAAAAGCCACATGCCCATGGCTCACACCTGTAATCCTAGCTACTCAGGAGGCAGAGATCAGAAGGATCAAGGTTCCAACCCAGACTGGGCAAATAGTTCTCAAGACCCTATTTTGAAAAAACTCATCACAAAAAAGGGCTGGTGGAGTGACTCAAGGTGTAGGCCCTGAGTTCAAACCCCAGTATCACAAAAAAAAAAAGATAAGTAAATAAATAAATACATTTGGCCTACAGTAGACCTTTGCTTATAACTTCTCAATGATTTGTCTTTCATTTTGTTTAGAATAATAAAAAATATAATACAATAATAATGAAGAATAATAAAATCCAAAGAGCGTGTCATGCACTCCCAAGTGCTGTGTGTCTAGCCCCTGCCACCTATCCATTCCTATCTTGGGTCATCCTCTTTAGCCACACTGAATTCTTTTCAATTCCTATAATACATTGCCTTTTTGGCTCAGAGCCTCTTAAATGCTGTTCCCTTTTCCCTTGGCTCCTCCCAGGACTGACTTCTTTCTCTCCTTCACTAGAAGTGCCACCTCCTCAGAGAAGACTTCCCTGACCACCTCACCTAAGGAGAGCCCTTTGTTTTGGGTCTCAGCACCCACTTTTTCTCCTTCATGGCCATCACAATCTGGAATTTTTTACTGTCTTAACCAGATCAGGGCTCTGGCCTCAGGAGACACCAGCTCTTCTTGGAAGAGAGACAGTAAATTTTTAGCTCTCAGTTAGCCATGCAGAATAACCTTGGTTAAAATCACAAACTTTGAGCCCAGGCTGTTTGGGCCCTAAAATCACAAACTTTGAGCCCAGGCTGTTTGGGCCCAGGCTGCCTGGGTATGTAGAGCAAGTCTGCCTCTTCCTAGCTGTGTGACCTTGGACAGGTTATTGTCCTTTCTGTACTTCAGTTTCATCATCCATAAAATGGGGATAATAGTACACACACACACACACCACCCACTGGCCCATGTCACAAAAGTCTTGGGAGAAATCAGCAAGGTGTTGACTCATGTTTGCTACAAGGAAATGCCATATAAGCATTTACTTGCCTTCCTTCATTCATGCAATCAAATCTCAAACCTTTGAGTCACGGCTTGGTGCCAGGCCCAGGGTTAGAGACTCAGATAGGAATCATGCCCAGTCCTTGTCCTCTGTGTGACACTTGCTCTCCATGTGGCACAGGACAAATGACAGAACAAAGAGGCCACACTTTCTCTGACCGAGTCTTTTCCCTTTACAGTTCCAATTCCAAAAACTGATACCAAAACCAAAACTCAAAGCCCAGCAAGCTCATTCCCATCCCACCCTCCCTCTCCTCTCACTTCTGCTTCTCTTATCCATCCTATAGTCATTTTTTGCAAAGACACTGCACTACTCCGCTGCCATCTCCCTGAAGGGTGCTTACCTGGAAACTCCCTCCCATAGGACATCCACCTTCTGTAGAGAAGAGGAGAAAGCGACCTGCTACACAGACAGGGCCACAACTCTCAGCCTGCAAAAGAAACTCACCAGCCATCCCCCCCCATACACCAAACACACACCACTACCACCACCACCTCTGGTGAGATTCTCTTGGTAAACTGACCCTGTATTTGTGCCTGGGCGGTGGGTTCCATCCTTTGTTCTGTCCTCCAACTTCTCCCCTCCCCCACTTTCTGTGATCCCCTATTCTGCACCATCCATCTCTCCCTGTCAGAGAATTATCCTCTTAGCATACAAACATTATTGTAGAACCTCTCATTTCAAAAGAAAAAAACCAAAAATCTTCCCTTGGAGAATTTAACACGTCTCCTACCTTTTAGGAGGAGCTGTAGCGCTTTCCTAGTTGAGGGAAAGCTGTTCTTTGAAGAAAAATGTGAGCTAGATGTGAGCACACCACAGGAGGTGACTGCCTACAGGATCAGGGAAGAGGCCTTAGAATAAAATCTACCTCCCCAGCACCTTAACCTTGGACTTCTCAGTCTCCAGAAAGGTGAGAAAATAAAATAAATTGTTCTTCAAGAAAAGAAAAGAAAGCAAGAAAGAAGGGCTGGTGGAGTGGCTCAAGTGGTAGCGTGCCTGCCTAGTAAACATGAGGCCCTGAGTTCAAACCCCAGTATCGCAAAAAAAAAAAAAAAAGATGCCAGCTGATACAAGAGGAATGTGAGAACTAGAAATAGCACCTTTGTAACTCAGCTTAAATCATTGCTTTAGGGCAGGGATGGAGTTCAGTGATAGAGCCCTTGTCTAGCATATGTGTAGCCAGTGAGCTAAGAATTTTAAGAATCAGGCTCTTGCTATGCTGTCCAGGCTGGCCTCAAACTCCTGGGCTCAAAGCAACTCTCCTGCCTCAGTCTCCCAAGATGATAGGTATATGCTACCACTCCCAGCTTTAATGGCATTTTTAAATGATTGAAAAAAATCAAAAGAAGAATAATATTTCATGACAGAAGAAAATCATGTTAAATCCAAATTTCAACGTCCGAAAACACAGTTGCATTGGAAGACAGCCAGGTTCCATTTATGTACCATGCGTGGCTGCTTTTGTGTTACCATGACAGAGCCAAGGAGGAGCTGCAACCAGGACTGTGTGGCCAGCAAAACCAAAAATATTTACTTTCTGGTCCTTTACAGAAAAAGTTCACCAGGCTCTGCTCTAGACCTAAGTTCCAGTGACAAGAGAGACATCAACATATAGAGGAATATGGTAAATTGATACTGAGGAAACCACCAGACCATTTACCCTGTAGAACATTCTATGATATAGAGTGATCACTTTAAAAAGTTGTTGCCAGAAAAGAATGAAAGCCAGGTATGTGGTGACTGTTTTATATTAGAACAGACTTCATAGAGACAGCACCACCAAAGCAACTGTGTAGATTTC